GCCTGCAATTCCATCAGCCTGGATAACAGAAACAAACAGCACTATGTCAGTTTTCTCCACAGACACTCATGATACATCATTTTTAGAAAAGGTGGATTCAGGGGATTTGTGCTCTTTAAAAAGAGGAGTTTTTGTAAACGCTCTCCAGTCCAACTTTTTTTGGTGGGTGGGGGGAGGGATGGCCGTGGGCAGAAGGACCCACTTTGTTGCTGGAGTTCCTGGTAGCCATCACAGAGCTTGGCACCCAGCTGACGGCGCTATTGGCTACAAGTAAGGATGCATTCACTTGTAGTGGGGGGTGGGGGTGGGGAGAGGGGTTATCTCTCTGGGTGAATTTTCAGATGTTGTAACAATTTATCATTCAATTGAACCAAGCAGAATTGCACAATTGCTGCCACCATCAGCTTCAAAACATTTCCTTTCTTCTTGAACCCTTGATCTCAGCTCCCTTGTATCTCCTCCCTGCCCCGCCCTCCACCCCACCCCCCAGGAGCCCTTATTGTTATGTTTTATATTATTATTCTTTTCCATTTTCTATGGCGCCTAGTTCTACACTGAAACACAAGAGCTGCCATGGGTTGGAATTTATTTCATGGCAACTGATTTCATTATTATTATCTTTACATTCCCTTCTTTACAAGAAGCCCGGGAGGTGCGAGTGGTTTGCAGTCTAAAGGTTGCCAATCTAAAGGTTAGAGGTTGAGTCCCCACCCCCTGCCTCCAGCAGCTCCACAGAAGAAACATCTGACGGTCCGACACTTGCTGTTGCTGTTCATTTTAGGGATCTTATTCGGTCCCGCCAGAGCTCGCTGCCATCCAGTCCATTTGGACTGAGGTCCTATAAGGCAGATTAAACTGCCTCTTTGAGCTTCTGAGACTAAACCTTTGTGGGAGCAGAAAGCCTCGTCTTTTTCCCACAGAGCGGCAGGTGGTTTTGAACTGCAGACCTTGCCGCACCTGTGTTATGATCCCATTGGGAAAGGGCTGGCTTCGTTACCTTAATGAGGCAGCATTAGGGTAGGGTGTAGCTTGAGTCCATCTCTTTTGAGCTATGGAAGAGACTGAATGAGCGAGCAGAGTGGAAATGGGGTCAGGTAGACGCACACGAAGATTTCCAAAGAAGCAGGAAACAATCGGACGAGAGTAGGGCCTTCCCCCAGAACGGAGACAGCACAGCCTTCCCCTAGAACTGGCAGACAGAATGCAGACCTCGGGGCAAGAATACATGTCTGAGAAGGCCTCCCACCTGTGGCGTGTCTGTTGTAGCAGCACCTGGAAACTAAGACAGTTACCATAGTGTTGATTTCAACGGGTGACGCCCCATGTGTACAGAAGAGAGCGACTGGCGACAGAGTTCAAGGCTGTGATCTTTCAGAAGCGATCATCAGACCTGCCTTTCGAAGTCCCTCTGGGCTGACAGCCAAGTAAACCCTATGGAGCACAGTTCTATGCTGTAATGCATGGATTTGCCGGAAGGCGGAATTCACTCAATGCCAACAGGTTTGCTGGTTAGTTTGTCTATATTAAACTATATAGGGGATCTTTGAAGGGGCTTCAAAATTTAGTGGAAAAATAGAATCAAAAGATAATGGAATTTTCTCACGGGATTTTTGAAGTCACTTGTATATTTCCTACAATATTGTTTATATATAATCTTTCACAGTGGAAACAAACAAACTTAATTTTAAAATAACAGGATACTTTAAAAACACAAACATCTATAGGGAGGGGTTTGAGGCAGGCTGGGGGTTTTCAAGCTTAAGGTTTTAGGGCTGGGGGGGTATGACCATCAGCCTGGGGGAGGGGTCGGTCTGATTCAAATAGCAGACTGGCCATGGTGGGTGGGGGACTCGGTGACTGTCTCTGGGCTTTTAGGAGTGTTTGCTTTCTAATTTTCTCCCCTTAATGTGCAGTTTGGGAAACAACGGCCAGTCCCTGCCTGGGGCCACCATTCTTGAGAGAGGACATTTGTGGAGGAGCAGTGTTCTGAAGGTCAACTGTTTTCAGAAGGCCGAGCATCCCGCCCACCCAGGGAGGAGAAGCCAAAGGACAGGCCACAAACAGCTCCCCTGCGCCTGGTGCTCCTTGAAGAGCTAAACCCTGTAGGTGCCATGTGGTTTCTGTTCTGTTTTAAAATGAGGACCGTGGTTTCCTTCGCAGCCCTCCAGACGAGGGCCTGCAAACCCAGCCACTGTGCCCCCTCTCCCGCCTCTTCTGCCAAAATAACCATTAATTCTATGCTTTTCTGCAATTTCTCCCTGAGCCTCACTCTCATTATCTGCAAAATGAGGACATTAGATTAAGGCGGTGCTGTGCAGGCATGTGTTTAACTGTGGGAACCCTTTCATTAAAGGAAGCCATAAGCCCCAGTCTGAGATGTGAACCAGATTCTAGTGTGGCGCTCTGGTCAGGAAGGGTAGACTAGAGCCCAGTCCCTGGGGCTCCCTGGTCCCAGGAAAACTTCCAGGGAACCCTGGGTTCTTGAGCCCTTTCACAGCAGCTCGGCTGGCTTCTCAGGGCCTCAGCTTCCCCACCCTGTAAAATGGGAATGAGAGTAGAATCTTCCTCATTGGGTCACCATGAGAGTTATGACATTTAAGGGGCTAGGACAAAACGAGGATCCCGCATGAACTTAAATGTTACAGTGACACGACGGCTGTTTGGTACACAGTATCGGGCGCACAGTAAGTGTTCAGTAAGTCCTAGCTAGGATGCTCAGTCCCGGTAGTGCTGTGGGTTAGGCATTGGGCTTCCAACGGCAAGGTTGGCAGTTTAAACCCAGCGGCGCCGTTGACTGCTCCTATAAAGGTTTCTAGTTCCAGAAGCCCTCAGGAGCAGTGCCGCTCTGTCCTGTAGGGCCACTATGATTTGCAATTGATGGATGACAATGGGTACGATAATGATGGTGCTGTGACTCAGCATCAGCTGTTATTAAAAGAATAAAAATGAAAGATCCTTCTATTATATTTTTGGTGAATAATGTGGTGATTTGTAATCAAGACTCTAATTCCTCTAGGGCAGTGGTTCTCAACCTTCCTAATGCCCTGACCTTTTAATACAGTTCCTCATGCTGTGGTGATCCCCCACCCCCCCACCCCCGTGCCAACCTTAACATTATTTTTGTTGCTACTTCATAACTGTCATTTTGCTACTGTTATGAATCAGGCAACCCCTGTGAAAGGGTCATTCAACCCCCAAAGGGGT